CCGCCACCTATACCAGATGAGTTACCCTGCTGAGTTGGGCGACCTGCTAGTGCTGCTGAAGTTATAGACTGAGCCCTACCATTATTGCCTCGTAGACCTTGTTTAGAAGAAGGACAATCTCTCAACGTGTGACCAGACTGACCACACCCAAAGCATCCTTCCTTTTATGCAAGACACTCACCCGGATGGTTCTTACCAAACTTTGGACAAGTTGGGTAGGTTCTGGTGCCTAAAGCACTCCCCTGAGACTTACAGCCTGATGCCCTACCTTTTTGATCATTTCGAAACTTGGAGGATGGAACACTAGCTAATGAAAGTGCTAGAGCTGAAGACTTTTGCTGAAACTGCGAGCGATTTCCACCACCCAATTTTTGTTGAGAATACTCATAGTTGCATGTTCTATTCTTCTTATTCTCCTTAGCATGTTCCCTAAGCTTATTTCCCTCAACCTGAGCATGAATCACGAGCCTAGAGATGTTTATATTTTCCAGCAACATAGCATTCCTACACTCTGTTTTCACTAAGTCGGATGCCCCATACAGAAACTTGTTCATTTGTGCCCTGGAATCGGCAACCATATGAGGAGCATACCTGAAGATTTGGGTGAACTTTAGCCCATACTCTTGGACTGGAATGGAACCCTGCCTCAAATTCATAAACTCTTGTGCTTTTGCCTCCCTCAACTCTCTTGGGAAGAATCTATCTAGAAAAGTCTCACTAAATCATTACCAAGTGATAGGAGTTGCATCTATACCCATGTTCTCTTTCCATTGAGTATACCATATATGAGCTACATCCTTAAGCTGATAGGACACCAACTCTACCCTATCATTACCAGCCACTTGCATCACTCCAAAGATCTTCTTAACCTCATCTATGAAGTTTTGGGGATCCTCACCAATCTGTGATCCTAAGAACTCAGGCGGATTCATCCTAAAAATATCACGAACCCTGGCTGTCACTGATCCACCACTAGCATTTGCAGGAACTGGAGCCTGCAGGTTGTTTTGGTTGGTCGCACTCTGAGCCAAAAACTGAATGGCATTCCGAAACTCAGCATTCGAAAGTTCTTGATTTGGGACTAAAGGGGCTGTATTAGCATTCTATGCATTGGTATTCCTTCCATAAGCTCTATGAGAAGGCATGATCTGAAAGCGCATAACGAAGGTTTAGAACGAGGAATTAGATCACACCTTACGCACGATAAGAGTAACAAGAAAATATGAAGTTTTCCTAAAACACTTTGCAGCCTCCTTCTCATTAGATGTGGTGCACTTCACACCCATGAAAAGGACTCTACTTAGTGTGGCTTTTCAGATATCCTAGGACTCTTAAACCTAATGCTCTGATACCAAATTTGTCACACCCCAAAGCTACCCCCAGGACATGGACACGGGACCTAGGATCACGAGTGACCACAAGCTAACTTTGCTGGCATATCATAAGCATACTAAAGATAAATTGAATCAATAAATACTGTGCGGAAGCTAATCATAAAATAATGTGAAATGATGGGGAAAACCAATACTAAATCTGAATATATAAAAAAATGAGAGTTTAACAAAAATTGAAAAGTCAAACTCAAATACTAAAGTTGATTCTAACTATGTTTGAAATAAAGCCTCTACTGACTAGAAATGTTGGGACATTCCCTAGCTAGATCTAGCAACTACTGAAAACTAAAGACTAAAGCAAAGGAAAGTAATTATGTCACTCGTCCTCGAAGAATGAGGACTCACCACTGATGTTGCTGAACTGAAGATCAGGAACCGATCTATGTATGATCTAGAAGCTGAGAACCTAAACCTACATCACGAGAATATGTATCGCAGAGTATGCATCAGTACTTGAAAGGTACTGAGCATGCAGAATATAGTAAAGTTGAACAATAAACATAATTGAACCAAAGCATATATCTGAGCAATGATAAGAGATAAGCATGATACTAAATTGAGAGTATTGAACATGAAATTACTGAATGCAATGACCAAGTTTATAACATGCTAAACTGAAATCTAACTAGAACTGATGACATGGTCAATGAAATAGAACCTGACTGTGGGAGCTACTAATAACCTACATAAAACCACATGAACTAAATATGGAGTCCGATGTATACGCCCCATCGAGAGGACCCAATATACCCTGCCAAAGGTATAAAGGCATGACTGGCGTGATCACTAAAATGATGCCCACAGAGAGGACTTACAACCTACGGGGAACGTAGTTCTGGGACTTGAGGGTGACTGACCCTAGTCCACTCGGTATTAAGCTTCTCCCAATTGATTATGTAATTAACAATTTATGACTGAATTTATGTAATACTGGATAGATCAAATACTGACATGCTAACTGAAAATGCAACATTAATGTACTGATAATGAAACATTCAAATCTGAGGCATGTATATCTGAAATAGCTGACCTAGCATTGTGTAATTCATGAACTAAAAGAATTACATAGCTAGGGTTCTGAATTTATGAAAGAATCTACACAAAACAATGCTAAAATCATGATAATCTGATTTGGATCATTCTAACAACTAAATCCCAACTATTTCTAACATTCAAGAAACCCTAGGTTTTGATAATATTAAGGGAACCAAGATTCTGACTGAATTCTAGGGACCTAGTGGATGAAAGGAATCCACTATTGAAATCCCACATACCTGATGAAGAATACCATGGAGAAATCTTGCAATTTCAGGCTGGAACTGAAGGAAACCTTGTTGTGTTCTTGGAAAGCTTTGGTCGACTCTTTCTCCTCTCTAGTTCTAAGTTTGATTGATTATTTGAGAAAGAATTGACTAGGGAAAGTTCTAATTAAGTTTCTAGGCTAAAATTGACCAAAACTACATAGTTTAGGGGTTAAACGACGTAGTTTAGGTGTCCAGCGCATAAAGAAAAGACCAAACGACCCCTGACTTAAAAGTTGTTGGGGCCACCGACGGACCTTAGCTGGACCGACGGTCCGTGCTGGTCAACCGTCGTTTGGCGATTGGGAGCTGAAATTAGGGGTCTGACCTACGGACCATGGCCTGACCTACAGTCCGTAGGTCCTGGCGTGGGTCTACCCTTAGCCAATTTTTCTGAAGGTTCTGGGGAAAGGGTCGCAGGTAGTGAACCACGAACCACCAGAACAGACCGTGGGTCACCCTACGGTCCGTGGGTGGTGCCCGTCAATGCTACCTGCAACTTCTGAAATCTGCATTTTGGTAGTTTTTGCATACGGGGTGTTACAAATCAAATCTACTCAAAACACATTATTCGCTACATCTACATGAATTAAAATCATCTTCTTCTTCTTCTAAGAGGAGTAGGAGGAATGATCAACAGCTGTAAAAAGAACAAGATATTTAGATGAATCAATCTTTTTTATTGGAGAGAATAAATCATTTTGTGCAGTTGATTTTCCACTTTGAGAATTCGTAATGTCCTATTTTGTGAGAAATTGTTTTTAAGAATGAAGTAATCATTTTTTTCCTTTTCAGTAGCGTTATCATGCTTATTATGT